AGACTTTCCTTTTCTAATTCCATTTGCCCTCGCTGATTCTCCAGTTCTTCCAACTCCCTTTCAATTGGCTCAATCTCGTCTTTTAAATCCAGATCACTGCAAGATCCAAGTCAAACAACAGATAACAGAGGCAGAAAGTGAAAGACTGCAAAAGAACACTGTGATTGGACTTCGCATAACTCAGAATTTTCATAGCAAATGCGTTACAGATATACCTTCTGCAGCAACTACAGTTAATAGCAGCAACTCACTAAAACTCACCTGACTTCACACCGCACCATACTTGGTCCATAAGCCTTTCTGGAGGACTGGCATATCATGCAACTTGGGATCTTTCTACCTTATGACCTAATCCAAAGCCCAGAGCTATGCTGTACAAACATACCAGCCTATACCATGATAGGTACTATTAGCACAAGTTAATGCAGAGACCCAAAGCAAGGTAGCCATGCCACAGTTGCATTTTGGTCTAGGTCATCACGGCAGCGTAGTCACTAGATTACAACCCATATCTCTATGATGCAATATAGTTTTCTTGGCTTCTACAGCAATTCATTCACAGCTTATATCCACAGACACACCTCTTCACAGCATGTAATTGTAATCCCTCCTATTTTAGGAAATTAAGTGCAATTCTTAGGCTCCCAGCAAGTTTCTAAAGCCATTAACAATTCCACGGAGCCTTGGCAATTTCCATTATTTTGTGCAACATGTGAATTTGTATAGGATTGGAAGTTACCTGATTATTTCTGAAACGTTGAAGGCATCGGTCTTAGTGCAGACGAAAGCTAAGCGCCCATATTGGCCATCCATGAGCAGCTGCCTCCGCAGGTTGATATTCAGCATCTCTTTGGCTGTCTTGTCATCCACAGCTCTATTGATGTTGGCCACCACCCACACTGCATTGCAGTTTTTTAGATACTGGAAAACACAAATGCAAGCAAGTTTCAAGGAGAGCTAGGGCAACTCATTCCAAAAGGAAACATTTCCGACAGTTTCTACTACCTGATGACTTTAGCAGAAACCGTCAGAAATTGATGCATTTAAGAAACTTTTTCTGCTGTCCTCAAAACTGAACAGAGTTAAATAAGAGTCACTTGAGTAATTGCCAGTGGAAGTTCTAGCTGCATAACGTACACAAACAGAATTCCCAGCCCACTTACACAAGAACTACAGAAGCCTCTGTATGTACCCATATACCAAGCTACAGGTGCTTTCCAGGTGTTAGCTCACCACAAATTCACAATAACCACCAAATATTTGTTCCGTCTCCTACAGAGGCAGGAGCGGATGGATGTCTTTAATGAACGTCTTGATGTAAACAAGAAACGACAGATGCAGATATCCAAAAACTGGTTGTGCTGTCAGGCAAGGTTAATACAGACATCAGATACGTTAGTCAAGAGTTGTCAGTGCTTCCCATCACTGCTGTATGGAAAGGGACTGTGGGTAGCACAATTGCACCATAAGGGTCACCACAATCACACTGCAGATCAGTGATCCAGCTAACACTCTAGCTAGCTGGATCTGAATGCGACTGGTGTTACCTCCCTCACAAGTGAGGGAGGACTGCCCAGAAAAAAGCTGGAGGCATGCTAACAGTCTATGAGCTGCTCTTCGCTGACACCAGACAACAATCATTCACATCTTGAAGCATAAGGACCGCCATCCCTTTACTTGCACCCTAACTAGCAGGGCTTCTGATGCTACTTAATTACTGTCAGTTGTGGTCCCAGAGTCTTGCCAACCAGCTTGCCAGGATGTGACCTCCCACAGGAAGCAGCACTGCGTGTTGGTTCAGTGTTTCCGCTGGCAGGACGTGTCTGTTGGCAGGTTCAGTGTTTCCGCTCCAGCGGAAGAACAGAAGTCAGTACACACCCAAGCAGTACCCTGTGCGCCAGGAAAGTGACAATGCTTCCCAACACAGACAAAGCGCTGGGAACATAAAGGGTCAATGCAAAAATCAGAGGCCAGCTCTCAAAGGAATTCAATCTCTGACATGGCTGTACCTCTTTGGCTGCGTTATCCCTGGCAGCATTGGAATCCCGTATTCCAGGCAAGTCCACCAGCACTGCTCCTGTCTTCAAGACATCAGCCTTGGGAACACGAACCTTGACACATTTAACGATCGGCCAGAATTCTCCACCTTTCATGTCCCGCAAGTTATCAGTCCGGCAGTCAATAAATTTCTCTATTTTTGTGCGAAAATCTGTGGCCTAGGAAGAGAAAGAGAGACCACAAGTTAAGGTTACGCACTGCCAAGGCAGGTGAAGATACCAAACCTTTGCACCCCAAATTACCGTCTCTGCAGATATGTGTTTCACTGTTCCAAGATGCCGAGTAACCTCCTGCAACTCTTCCAGCTTGGAAAGCTCTGCTACCATCCCATAAACAGCTTTCACACGGCTGTAGGCAGCACCAGCTTCTGTCTTGCGATCTGGGCATCGTTTCTTCAAGTTACCTGACTTGTCCTTCATATCTTCCAGGAGCGCTTTCAACTCGCTAAACCACTCCTTAAACAGGAAATTAAAACACATTTCACACAACGCACAACGTTGTAAAAATATTCTGAAAGACCACACACGTTATTGTACCTTTATGTTTAATATTGTTACGTCTTGGGTTCATACACACATGGAACTTCCATGCTCATTTTACAGACGGGGCAAGGGAGATGGACGTGGCATGTCAGGCAGTAGGCTAATGGCACAATCACGGATTTTACTCTAAGCTAAGGGGCTCGGGTTTGGGGAATGCAGGTTACTTAATCCTGCAACACTGGAAGCTGCTAGTATGGAAACACACAGAGGAATATAGAAACGCTAATGGAACTTACGATGTCTATTTTTGCTACCTACTTCTTTAGAAAGAAACTCTATATCTGCTTCATATGGACTGGTCTCAGCAGTCTTGGAGATCTCCACAACCACAGCTGTGCAGGCTCTCATAGCAGAAGTCGGCAGCACCGCTTCCTCACCCAGCAAGGCATTTAACAAGCTGCTTTTCCCTGCGCCTGTGTTTCCCACCACAGCAATATATGTCTTCGGCATTTTTGTGTCTTTCTGCAACTTGGCAATCTGTTCTCTTTTGTAGGAGAAAAACAAAAAACACAAAGAAGTGATCGGGCAGCATTTGGCTGACTCTAAGCTTATAACGACTTCCATAAACAGTAAACTTCAGTGCACGTTTTAATCTACACTGGCAAGTCACAGATGCAAACCTTGCAAAACCCTCCAAGAAACATAAGCAAGAAGTCAGTAGGACCAAGTGGTATACGTCCTCTTAACGGAGTCCTTAAAGGCATCACTACCATCCCCATGAACACGTCATTTAACATACAATAATATTTCAAAACTAGTGCAGCTATGTTAAAAGCACCTGCATTCCCCAGGAGAAAGGGAATAAACTGTTTTGGCACAAGTCCCCCATCCACAGGGATAAGAGCCTCCCCAAATCAGACAAGAATAACTGTCCAATTGAAATTCATCCTAACAGGAATAGCTAGCATCAAGACATGTGGACTGGGTCTTTGCAGCTGCCTGCAGAAGAAAAGCGATTCCTTACCTGCTTCCTAAGCATTCAAAAATCACGCATTTTTGTGCGAGCTGCAGAATTTGGAGGCTGACATCGTAAGGAAGACCCACATACAAAAAAAAGCAAGACCAAAGAAGAGACCAGCTGTGAAAACAGGATGTGCCTGTCCCTGAACTGCCTTATATCAGTAGGATCACCATGTCTCTCGGTAACTATTTACTAGAGACAGCCTTTAGTTCACAGCAGCGCAGACCCTTTAGTCAAATAAACGGGGCATATGAGCAGTTCTCAGACAGTGCTCTGGCTGTACTTGCAAGCTTCTCTCCAGCAGGCACCTTTTAAGATTATTCTACAGGACAGACCACTGCCTCCAAGGAGATGTGCCTGCCCGTAACCAGGGAGCAGCATCCAAGCAGTCTCAGGCAGCGCCTGCTACACAAAATTCAGCTTCAGCTGTCTGCAAGAACTGAGCGCTCTCCCAAAGCACAACTGCTTTGCTATCGTTAACTATGGTTTACTCACAGGAGACAGAGGCACTAACAGATCTACTTACCTACGCTCGCCAAGGAGTCAGGATCCCAGACTGTCGGTTCTGACGGCCCCTGCCCCTGATGCTACCAACACCAAAAAGAGTCAGGGGCGCTTACCTCCATTCCTCCATGTGCTCTCCATCGATGCCCCCCACAGCACGAAGAACCTGAGAAATATCTTTGAGCACAGTCTGACATCGCTGCAACTGCAACTCAATGTCTTCCTCCGATAAAGCCCAGTCTCTCCGGCTCTCACTCTCCGCTCTGTCACTGAAACTTGCTTTTAGATTGGAGCTCTCTCCTCCAGAGAGCTTTCCCGAGTTTCTAGAAGCAGACAAAAGGTCACAAGCCTTTGTACTCTCTACCGACATGGACAGGATGTCTTGTATAAGATTACTGGGATCCTTGGAGTCACAGGCTTCTCCCAGTTCTGAAGAGGACATGCAACCCAGAGTCGTAGGGCTATACTTCAGAGCCTCAGACTTCTTTGGAAGGAGAATCTCATCTCCAGTTTGCATGTCTGCTGAGTCCAACTTAGTACGCAGCTGAAACGAAGTAGCTAGCGAGCAAGTTGAAACCTCTGCAGCATCAGAGGTATATAACGTTGGGGCTAAAGGCGAGTGAGCTAAGAGACATTCCTTGGAGTCCATGCCAAGAGGATTAAATGCATCCAGAAGTGCTGGAGCTTGTAACGGATATTGCACATTTTCTTCTTTGAAGGATGAAATAGGAAAATGAGCAGGAGGCAGACTGTTTGATGCTGGCCTTGGAAAGCCTTTGTCCCCTGATGTGGGGATGTTGCTTGCAAGGATTTTTTGATTACCTAAATCATTAACGGTCTGCAAATCAGAGGAGTCTCCTGCTTCCACTGGAGCACACGGCCTGGGAGTTACTCTTCCCTCCGGGTAATCACAGATACTAGTTTCCTGATCCTGTTTTTGCTGTCTTGCCTTAGCATCCCTGCCCTGCTCATCTTTGTAAAGGCCTTCCCATGGATCATCTCCCTCATCACTATGCGTCACCTTAGCAGATTTACAGTGATGAGGAGAAAGAACAGAGTAAGAGAGATCCTCCTGCGTGCTAAGGTAAGAGCTCTGAAAAGATCTTGCTTTATCACTCACAACGTCCGCAGAAGGACTGCTCACGGGGGAAGCAGAAGTAAGGACGGACAAACGTGCGTTCTTCACCTTCTTCAGAGACAAACTCTGCTTCACTCTAGGTCTGAGCGGAGTCTGGGAAAGGGCTTGCTCAGCAGGGCTCGTCTGAGAGGATGCACACGGTGTAGGAGAGAAGGGAGGGCTAGCTCTTTCATGGCTTGTCGATTCCTCATTTTCAGGTTCTGAAGGACACGCAGCGCTGGGTAGGCGCGTTTCCGAAGGAGGGAAAACGCCTCTTCTATTACCGTCGCTGAGTTCTTTGTCAGACAGCCTTCTTTCTAAACATATTTGGGAACCAGTGCATGCCTTTACACCAGATGCAGTCGGCTCTTTTGCCCACGAGTCAGAGCCCCAGGTCAGGGGGACATCGGGTCTCAAATCTGTCCGTTTGAAAGGCAGAGGAGGAGAGGGAGAAGGAATCGAGTCTTCTCTGTTAGACATTTCATTACTCTGAGGTGTTCCTTCACAGAGGTGCAGTACTGATGCACCTGCTTTGTCCCTAAAGCTTTCATCACCACCTTCTGGCTTTGGCTGCTGTACCAAGTTTGCCATACTTGGTTCATTTTCTCTCAAAGTTACAACATGATACGAAGTCGTCTCTGCATCTCCATCTGTCCAGCACTCAACCGTGGCTTCTGGGGAGTGAAGAGCAAAATTTGACAGGGTTTGAGCCTCGGAGGCTTTGCAACTGTCCTCACAAGCCCTTCCACAGAGCTCACCAGTGCTTGTGTCACCCAAAGTGCCATCACTGATTTCTTGAGGAGTCTGGCAGAACTTCCCCTCAGAGGAGCTGTTGGAGAGGTCAGAGAACACAAAACTCAGACTTTTGGTGCTCTCCACGGAGCATGCAGAGGGAGACATCAAGGAAGATTCAGAAGCATATTTATTATCTAATGCTGAACAGAGATTACTCTGAAACTGCTCCTCTTCGGACAGAGGGTCAGCGCTCGGACTGGCCAGGGCCTCGTTCACATCCTTTCCTATCACATCACTCTGTGAACCTGGTGAGCTGGCAACAGGCTCTGCGCACATGAGCTGACGGGCACTGGGACAATCTGTCCCTTCAGATGCACACGCAGAAGACTGACACCCGCTCGCCTGGGACACGGGCTCTGGTAGGGCCAATGGATGGCTGTCTTCTCTTTCTAAGCCTCCACTAATGGCTAATGCACTTGCAGCGCTACTTCTTGGGTCTTCTGCTACTTCGTCTTCACAAGGTGGCGGAAACGTTTCCGTTACATTTGCATTAACTAGATTATCACAGTCACTTGTTTTTTTAAAAAAATCTCTCACTAATTGGGCAACATAACTTTTATGGTTTTCTTTCTCAGTTTCCTCAGATGTTTGAACAGTGGGATGTTTTCTGAAGAACTGCCTAACAATATTACAAACAGAAGTAACACGATGCTCCTGCAAGCCACGGGCAGCAGAAGAGATGGCTATATTCACACCTGGCAGGGGACACACAGGCTCCTGCGCTGATAGCGATCCCAGAGGACAATGTCTCTTCTGAGAAAACTGTTCATCTTCAGAATCTGATGCCCCAAAACATTCATTTCCAGGGACTTGTCTTTTTAATATCCTGGAAGAGTTCTCTCTCTTTGACTCTTCATTTTGAGAACCTGCACCCTCCTCTTCACAACAATTCACTCTGTTTGCAAAGCAAGACTCCAAAATATTCAGCTCTTCATGGCTGCTTTCAGGCTGGCATACCTTTACTTGAGCTTTCATGGGTTCAGTTTCTAGGCTCTCTTCCGGCAGAAGTAAGGGCTTACCTATTTGTGTTTGCCAGTCAGATTCATTTTTTTCTGGACAGAGCTCGGTCTGTATTTCAGTGACCGGAGAAGCTTTAACAGTTCTCACGACCTCAGAAGGAACAGGAGAAACCTCACTGCCTCGCTCTTGAACACGGTCATCAAGCAGTGCAATCTCAGCCTGCTGACCCTCCTCTAATTCTTTTCCAGTTTGGAAAGGGTTAGAATCAGCATTTCCTTCCACTTCACTAGAATAACTTCCACAACTCACAGCTTCCACCTCCTCCTGTACACTGGGAAATCCCACGGAGTTAAAAGCACAGTATAAACTCATGCTCTCATGTTCTTCAGTTGTTGGGTTCTCCTTTTCTCCTCTCAGAGGTGTGTTTTTTACTAAAAGCGTGTTTTTTTCATCTGCTGCAATACCTGCACTATGACAGTCAGATGCAGTAATTTTAACTGCAGTGAGATCATGTTCTGTACCAAAATGAGGATAGCTTGCTTGCTCCAAACACACATCCACTGACTTTTCTACTCCTGTAGTTGATCTGACAGCAGCAGTTTCTGTCACTTCGCCGGGATCACTTTCCGTTCTATTACAGTGCAGCTCACTATGCAAAACAATGCTGCCAGAAACCCTGTCTGCATCACAGGTGACAATATCCCCTTCCTTCCAGACTTCAGTCTCTGAAATGCAGTTTACTGGAGATATCTTTGTTCTTATGCCACTCTGTTCTACTTTTTCAGCTTCCAAGTCTTGAATGCATAAATGAAACTCCCCTCCACTGCAGAGCTCAGCCACGTCTGTAGGGTCCCTTTGGACTGCCTTCAGACCTTCAGTTCTGTTTTCTTCAGAAGACCTAAACTTTTCAGTTGCAGTACTGCACATCCCTACTGAAAGATCCCTTTTGTCCATGCTACATGGCTTTACATCTACTTGAGGAGCTTGTGGTTCGATTCCATAACCATCCTGGCAAGTAGCGCTACCATCACGTCCTTCCAAATCAGCTGTCGTCAAACCTTCACCGTTCATATTTTCTCTGTCTACCTCATCCGAAACAGCATCTTCCACACCACTGTCTTCTGGATAAAGAGGAACTTTCACACACTCTTCTTTGGATTTCAAATCCACGTTTCTTTCCAAATTTGGCGGTTCAACGGCACGAGAATCAGATTCCTGCTTTTTCAAGTGCAACTGATTGCTCCTGTAATTCTGAGCAGACAGAGCTAACAGCAGAATTCCAGTTCCAGTCCTGGGAACTGCTCTGTTTCCCCTCATCAGGCTCACTAAAATCTGCAACGACATGTGCAGCTTCCTCCTCTCCCTTTTCCACTACTGATTTATCACACTGTTCATCGTGTGCCGGTTCCGCCCCTTCTTCACCACCATTTCCTTCTTCATTCTTAGGGCAGAGCTGGACCAAGGAGCAGGCACGTGCATACTGCAGACCGCTTCCTACTCCCCTTTCATCCACAGGGCAAGAGGGCTCTGTGCGCAAACAGGAACAACAGTTACCCTCACACCATGCGCGTTTGGGTGAGCCTACGGGCACAAGGCTGGAGGAAAAGGAAACCAAGTCAGAGGAGCAGCAATCGGTACTCTGCTCCAGCCTCTTTGCAAGTGCAGCTGTAGTACTGCCAAAATTACAACATGTCTGCCGAACACCTGCGTTTCCCCAATCGTTTTCTTGGTCTTTCTGTTCCTCCAACATGCTATCGTTTATAGATGGTCTTGAAACCCTTCTCTCTCCCACTATTCCTGTAGTACTTTTGCTTTCAACACTATCTTCTTTTGTCTCTTGGCAAGCTTTCCCCTCAATACTGCCTGAGAGATCATCGTGTTCTTCTGATAGCACAGCATCCTCTGATGAGCAAGCAGTCGTCTGTACCTTGCCATCAGCAGCGTTCAACCTTTGATCGCTGCCGTTATCAAACGTGGAATCCACAGAACAGATCACAGAGATTTCAAATGCTTTCAGACTTTGGTTGGCGTCCACGTTTTCTTTTTCAGAAGGAGATAAAAGTGACCAATCTTCTCCTAAAGACTCCTTTTCCTCTAGGTAGCCATTACCCTGCGGCTGAAGATCATTAGGAATTTCTCTACCTAAATTCAGAGATGATTCAGAATTAGTAACTTCCAGCAATTTCTCTCCTGGGTTTTCAAAAAATATTCCTCTAATAGGAGAGCACAAGCCTACAGAGACTGTCTCACTCTCACATGTTTCCAACCCTGAAAACAGCTCTGACTTTGCTGCTTGTGCAGAGCCTGTAGGGCCCATCTCCATCTCTTCAGAGAACTCTTTCAAGGGACTGTCATTTGCACCATCACGAATGGTTTCAACATGTACTTCAACAATTCCACTTGAAGGCACATTTGTGTCCATAGGCACATTACTTTCATCTTCCTCATAACGATTATGCTTTGTTGATCTATCTTTGTTCCCATCTTCTAAAAGTTTTGTAGATAATGAATTGGTTTTTCTCTTCTTTACGAATCTAGTTTCCGTTCCCACTTCTGCATGACATACTTCAGTGTTATCCCTAACAGGAGATGTATCCACTTCCATCCTGGCCTCGCTGTCATCTTTATCTTCAGATATCCCCTCACCATCCCATGTCAAAATAATGACATTCGTTTTCACATCTGCTTCTTCCATTTCTCCTTGAGAAGCACTCCCTTGCTTTGTTTTACTAAAATCATCGCCAGCCTCCCTGGGCATCTCCTCTTTAGATAAAGGTGAAATCAAACGGGCAGGGTGAGGCTGAACACATTCAGACTCGGCGCAAACGGAGGCGCTTAGAGCAGCGGGCGCAGAAATACCTGCCTGGCAGCAACGCAGCGTGTCGCAGGCATTGCCTCTCCTTACAGACGCAGGCTGCGCAGGAGCTTCTGGGTTCTCAGTCTCACCCACTGAAGTCCTGACAGAAGCGTCACTTTCTTCCTCTCCACCAAGATGCGCTTGAGAAACTGCTCTGCATTTCAGCCGCTCCTGAGCTGTGGCGTTCACTCCCCTCGCGGACCTGACAGGTGCTTCTGAGTGATTCGGCTCTCCTTCCTTCAGGACTGGACATCCGGAAGGGTTTTCAGGGTGTAAATATCCAAAACGTGACACATGCTTATAGACTGAATCACATACTACACCTCCAGATGACACTTGGTTTGCAGAAGGCAAATGTACGACGCTGTCACTGATACATTGTGAAGAAAGATGGGTTTCTGGTACTGTAGCATCTATGGTACTTTTTACAAGTCTGTCTTCTGCCACATGAGAATCCACTGCTATTTCTTCATCTTCTGAACGGATCACAGCCGGAGTTTCACCATCCGAGAAAACCATCTGACTGGCTCCAGTATCTATGCGTCCAGCAGTGCAGCTTGGCAATAATACAGCCCCATCATCATCAACTGTGGATTTGACAGGAGCCATTTTGCTCTCACAGGGAGATACTGCTTTGGCTGCATACCTTGTCTGAGTAGTCTGTGCATGAGAACAGTCCTGATCTACTGGCTTAACTCCTTCAGTGTCTGCAAACAGGAGGTTCTGATGGAGGGCATTTTGCAAATCAAAAACATGATTATTACATGTTTCTCCATCGTGACCTGTGTTTACTGCTGTAATGATTTTATCGTGGTTAGATTCAGCTGATTCACAAGGATCTGAAGCAGTTGCAGGCTGCTGCATTTTTATATTTAGGCTACTATTTAACATTCCTAAGCCCAACTCTCTGTCTGCTACGGGAGAAGTGCCGCTTTCTACAGTTTTACAACTAATCTGTTTTTCCATCCCATTTGGAATAACGTTCTTTTCTTCCAGAGTTGACGTAAAGTCACTTTTGGTCTCAGAGTGCAGAGAACTACACAGAAGCGCCACTTCTGGCTCCAACTGTACACTTGCTTCCTGCGCTCTGCTTAGAGTCGCAGTGGTTTCAGACAGCAGCTCCCCTTCTTCTGTTGCAGTTTTAATACCAGCATGCACCAGGTTTTTTTGATTCTCTATTTGTTTTACAGTGGCATGCTGACCTTCAGGAGTCCTTTTTCTTTTAGCAGGGTCACCATTTTCTGAATTATTTTTTACGTCAGTGACTGATTCTGATGAGCTGTTAACAGAAGAACAATGTTTTCTCTTTGGATAATATTCATACATTTCCATTTCAGTAAATAATGTAGTCTCACATGAAGCATCATGCGCACAAGCATCAGGTTTATGCTGCTCCTCAGAGGTCTCTTCGCAGTACTCCATAGAACTTTCCTTTTCTGTCGTCTTCTCCTTGTAACTACTGACTAATGAGACATTATTTGTATCTTGTTTTGCAGCCTGAAGTAGACTCATAACCTGAGTGCCTGGTCCTGAAGTCTCAGCAGTTTCATTTCCAACCATTTCATCTGTGCATTTATCAACATCATTCTCCATCACTACTAATTCACTGTCAGACCTTTCACAACTTCGAAGCACTGACTTGTCAGCTACAGGTTCTGACAACCTCGGAACGTGTTGGCCTTGACATCCTGGCTGAGACGAGTCTGAAAGAGCTAACGCGTCAGCTGAAAGATCAACCATCTCTCTGCTACACAGGTGATGACAGTCATCTGCCCTCACAATATCCATGGATATCACAGGTTCCTCATTCGGAGAAGCTGCTGAATAAGGTTCCATTTCTACTCCTTCATTGTCCCATTTTTCTTCCAGGAATAGTTTGTAAGATTCTGGGGTGGATCTTGATGCATATGTTTGGCCTTCACTTTGTTCCACAGGTAGCAAGTCAGGATTTATCCGTTTTGCTTTGTTTGAGGCATTTTCCTGAGGCAAAAAGGCTGCCTGTTGAACAGACTCTGCAGTCACTGCTGAATCGCTGCTCATTACCTCATATTCAGGTGAAGCAGAGCGTAAAACTAGAGGCTCCAGCGTAGCGCAACCTTTCAGCATAGCATCTGATATGGCAGCTGATTTACAGGTTCCTCGCTTTTCAAATCTGGCTGAAGTCACATTAGAAAAATTTGTAGAGACAGAGGATTTAGCTGAAAAGTTTACTGATCCCACAGAAGTAAATGGCAACGACACAGTGACTGTGGAAACCTCTCTTTCTTCAGAGCGCATACTAGACTCAGACAGCGCTCCAACACTGTGTGGAATATCTCGGGGTGTCCGTGCTGAAGGGGGTCGAGCAGGAAGACTGACACTTTTCTCAAATACCAAGTTTGAGCTGAACTGAGGAACCTCTGGAGATGTTAACAGGGGTACTGGAACCTGCGTTGGAGCAAAAGAAAGCAGCAAAACATAGAGACAATGAAATTAGCTGAGCAGCAGTTGCACTTACTTCTTTGTATTATGTGTAAAAGGAAACAAAAAGAAAAAAAAACATGTAGCACTGACATCATAGAATCCAACTTCTACTTAATGCTTTTGCCATTGCCACCACCATAAACTAGTAAAAGTGAGGTTTCACAGTCATGAAAGGTTTATACTGCAGATTTGGCCCAAACTATATAGAGCTGAGAATTCTGTAATTTCTGTGCATGCCAACAGCACTAACTTTTTTTTTTTTTTTTTTTTTTTTAAGTCTCAGATAACGAGACCCTCCTCCCAGCTGCCTCCCAAGTACAAGGAAAGAGGGAACAAAGGAGGCATAAGGAAGGTGCTGCAGCAGACTGCATCAGCAGCAAAGATTGGCCACACTGGCCTAAATCAGAACATTTAAGAAAAAAGGAAGGAAATGGGAGAAAAACAAAAAGAGGAAGAACTACATGCTACTATCTTATTTTGCGCAGAGCACATCTGCCCCACACAGTGCATAGAATCGACAACGTTCACTTAATCAGCAACTCTTCAGCATTTGCTTTCCTTCCTTTCAACACGCAACCCCCTAGCTTTCTTACTGAGCTCTGGAGGCAGTTCATTTCCCTGTGAGTTTTTCCATGGTACAGATCTTCAAGTCACAAATTCCAAATTATTAGTTTTCTAACTTGAGCTTGCATTCCAAGCTTCAATAACAGTCTTTCGGGGTTTTTTTTTGCATGTATGAGTGTTACGTATAAGTAATGACAATTTTCTTTCAATTATAAACGTAGGTACCGGTGCAGTCTCCAGAACACGCAGAGGAGCATAAAAAACGTTTACTTTTTATACTGTTACAATCAAAATGGAGAACAAAGGGTTATTTTCACTCCTCAATATTGTCTCTATAACATATCTAGAAAGCCTGCTTTTTGGTGTTTTTGATAACATCTCTGAAAAGCACATATTGCCAATCCATAAAAAAAACAACAAAACAGCAGACTGATCTTAGAAGAGCCAACAGAGGAAGTTAACTGGCAAGTCAAAGCCGCTCTATTTCTATATAAAAACGTTTTACGTACATGTTTACTTTTCTCAGCTGTGGAGTGCTTCCCAAATAATGAACTAATCCAGATATCATCACTGAAACCTAAACCAAACCTACACACCTGTGGTATGAAATTCTTCATCTCAGCACGGACGCTTCGCCGCTGGTCAATCCTGCAGCAACAGCGTTCAAACTGAAAGATAAACATGAAAAGTGCAGCTCAAAACCCTCCTCATTCAAATTCAGCGTCCAGATTCAACAAGACTGTCTAATTCATAGCAAAAAAGGCAATGTAGAAATAAAGCCATTTCAGCTTTTAGGCATAAACAAAATCAAATTTCCAAGCCCTCCAATTTTAATGTCAACTAAAGTCTTACTTTGTTATCTTTGAAAGTGACTCATTCTTCATATTTATAGCATAAACAAATATGTAAGCCTTTAAAGAGAAATCATAGTATTACTAGATATCAGTTTATAGGTCTCACCAGCATTGTTAATGAGAACAAGAGGCAACTAAGCTTTGTCAAAGCTAGAAGGTCCTTCTGGGAGTCCACAGACCTGAGCCACTGACCGACTTGTTTAAAGAGGGTAGAACTGAAGTCAAGCAACATAGCAATATATTGCTGCCGGGAATTCAGAGAAATAACAATAATATGTGGGACCAGGTTTGTGGACTGTGACCTGGTAGCGAGGACAGCAGTAATCTCATTTTGCCCAGAAGTCAAGATTTGGCAGTCTCTGCAATACATCAGGAAGAAATAAGACATACCAGAAAGCAGAGCTGTGAGTTTGGCTGACGAACTTGCGTTCCAGGCTTTACATGTCTTTCTGTGGGATGCCCAAATATAACAGTATCACCTTTCCGCAAGATAACTTTACCTGTGGATTTAAAAGCATCCCATTATACCTCATAGCAAGCAAGCGTTCTTTATCATTCTTTAGTATTTTTTTTTAGAATTGCTATGACTGAAATTATTAGATTAGGGAAAAATACAGACTCAAGAGTTACTGTGCCATCTGACAGCAAAAGCAGACACCAAGTGTCCCACCGCCAGCAGTGATCAGAATGGGATTCTTAGGAAACAGAATAAGAAAAGACTGCTGTATGTCACCCAACTTGCAGCACCGCACAGGGACCTCCTGATCCACAGGTGGCGGTGGCATCTGGGCCATATTGTTCAGACAGCAGTGAACGTGTCCTCTGTGAATTTGTCTAGTTCTTTTCAGGACATACTTACAAGTTTTTTGCTTTCAATTTTACGTTTCAAAATTCAATTGTGAAATCTCCAAAAGAGGTATTTTGTTTGCTATAAAAGTCTTACTTTGTTAAAAAAATAACAACAATCAAAACATCAAACTCCCACTAGACTGCACACAATGAAACTGCATTCTGATTAAAAGGAACTAATTACTTCTTTTGACCATCTCCACACTGTTCACGGCTTTGTAGACCTGAAGTACCCTCCCAGTCACCTCCTTCCTAAGCTAACAGCTCTAGTCTGTCTATTTTTCCTGCTATGAAAACCTGTCCTGAGTCTCAGATCATCTTTTTTGAACCTTCTTGGTATTTTCCCAAGTCCTACTACGTTTTTCTGGGCTAGAACAACCAGCGTTATTTTCAAGGTATGGGTATCTTTTCCAAAGAAATTCTCAATAAATCGTGGAACATATCCTCGAAAGCCAAGGGATCTTGAGCACCATGAGAGTCTCCTCATAGCTTTCAACTACCTTTATCTCACTCTACATTCCAAAATTTTGTATCAATAAAACCCTTGTCATCTCACTAATTAGCTGCTTTTCCAGCTTACTTATTAGTGTAGTCTCCAGCAGGACTACACAGGCAGCCCCCTCTGAATCATGAGAAAAAACTTCTGCTTACCCTTGGTGTTCCACCTTTTGCCTGGTTTTAAGGTATTCCATCTTTTGGCTGGTTTCAGGACATAGAAGGACTTCTCTCTCATGTCAATATGAATGTAATGACTTACATATATATGATCAATTCACCCTAAAGAAATTCACACGATTGTGGCTCTTTGCACATCTCCCCTCCACACTCACCACCAATTTTGATGTCATTAACATAAACGCCTGTCAGGCTGGAATCCACAAGCTCATAAGTACCAGCGGTTCGAATCACTCTGGCATGATGTCGGGATATGCAATCTTTTGTTTCGCCTGGAGAGCTAATGAAGTAGTCCACAACATCTTTGTTTCTGCCAAATAGTGTAACATCCTTATAAAAGCTGTAAGCAAAGATTTAGAAAGACTTTTACAATTGCATTCTTCTTCTTTTATTCTTTATTTTATTCATTTCCATGAAAGCTTTGCTCTACAGAAGTAATCAGTAGATTAACGAGGGGTTGAAGACAAAAGAATCTCATCATGGTATCAGCAGTGTGCAACCGAATTTCTGAGATCTATCAATTAAATTACAGCTGCTGGAAAGCAGAATCAATAAAATCCACATCCCAAAACCAAACATGGAGCAAAACAAATTCAGCCTATTAGCAGCTAGGCTAAAGGAAAAAAAAAAAAAAAAATCAGCTGACACTTTCATGAGCAAATGGTGATCACCAACACCCAACTTCAAACAAATTAAAGGTGCCCAAATTTCTGGTAGGAAAGGGAAAAGGAGACACAGCAAGCATGAACAGAGTATTGTGAGCACAGTTACAATCAGTATTAGCATCATCACTAATCATCTGAAGGAATAAACAGATCATACATTACATTCCAGCATTCAAAAAGAAACCAACCGCCTCCCAAAGAAAAAGTTAAGCATAACAAATGAACTAATCAGAAATCTTAACTGAAGGAGGAAAACTATTCATTCAATTTTAGCTAAAGTTTATTTATATGTCTAGGAAAACATAGAATGTCAAGACTGTTCTACTAGAAAAATAAAAAATAAAAAAAAAAAATCAAAAAAGCTAAAGCTACAATAGTGAGCTATCTAAGGGCCAAAAAGTTGGTAGCGAGAGCAAGCCAGAACGTCAGTCGGCTGCCCTGGCAGCTGACACTCCTCACTGGAGCCCAGCTCTTAAAAATTGATAATGTCTTCCTCTCTGGAAGACCACTCCATGCCTCAATGCCTCAAGAAAGACCACATGCAAGACAAAAACCACAAATGTGCAATTCATCCGAGCGCAAATTAGTATTGGTCATAATTTGTGAGCACCAACTCGGAAAATTTCATCTTAAACCAAACGCTGTGCATTTTTCATGCCACACAGAGTGCTGACCTGGTACCATTTCCTCCCTCAAAACATTTCAGGACTGCAGTACGTTACAGCGCAGAGAGAGTGTCTGATGTACTCCACACACACTCACCAGCAGACTTGGTAACTAGAGAAACACCTATGTAGCAAGCTTACACAAAAGCTACCTGCAGAACACAGCACAGGCCAGTCCAAACTACAAGTGGCTGCACAATCACAGAACACAAATCAAGGATCACAAACCCCAGCATGCAGCGTTCATTCCCAGGCACAGCAGTCCAACACTTGTTTCACAGGGTACTCACTGAATAAGATCAGCAATACCAGAGACTGTAGGTTTGCATCCAATTCTCCGCAAGTGACAACGACTGAGCTCCTCGTTTTTTCTCTGATGTATTGATGCCATTTTGGTGAATTCACTTTACACCTGGAGCGAAAGTCTAAAAAATAAGGCAAAAAGAACATGTAAGCTCTAGACTGCAAAAACAGCGCCACTTTGTGTGCCAACCTTCACACATGCATGCAGAGAACACCAAACATCAATACAGTCTGGACTGAAGGAACAGTCCCTGGTTGAAGGAGCAGAATAAAAGGATGCGTTGACCAAAGAAGTCCGGACAAACTTAGGTCTCTGGAGTCTGTTCCCAAACTTCTTCAGAATTAATAAACGTCATTACTTACAAATATCAGACCAGAAGGATATCAAAATGCTTTCTAAATTCTGTGAAGTGTTTTGTCTCCTAAACACAGCCGACTTCAGCTGCAGCATAACAGGTTCTGCATGAAGAATTACTGTACAGCTGCTTAGGACTGAAAAACTAGTTTAGTGGAGCACATAGCAAACACTAAAGAAACTCTCCTTCCTCAAATGGGAGGAGAAAAGCCAGCTACAGTCTCTGCTGGATGGGAAGTCAGAAGATATTGACAACTGGGAGTGGGCTTCACCATGTGCAACTCACTAGGGTGCAAGCTGAACCAGCTACGCAGAAAAGGAGAGGTGGGATTCAATTGCGTAACCTTAGAAGCACAGTGCCACATTCATCAAGCTTTCATCTGGCTAATATAGAGGCCCTAACACATCTGCAACACATCAGGTCCAGCAGATATCATACAGAGAGCTCTGCCCTTCTGGAACATCTGCTGGAGGCCAGGAAGGAGACCCTAAAACACCTCAAATGGCACAATATCCCCATGTGTAGGCAATCAAGTTCTTCTCTGAATAACCAGTGGCGTTACAAAGTCACCTGACAGGCTTGCCTGCCCTCACCACTAAGCGTGCGCTAGTTAGGATGAACTCCACTGCCATTAGAAATGTCATCGCCTCAACATCCTTCTTACAGCATTTCTGGCAAATGGCAAACTTTTCCCACGGGGAATTTTAGTGCAAGGACTGTCTGAAAACGTGAAGTCTCTAAAGCCACTGCAGTCCTGTCAAGAAACGCTCAGCCTGGAACCCGCTGCTTGTGCCGAGATCTAGCGATAGGCATCAACGCAGCACTGTAGCAGCTGTTCCACCAAACAAGAGAGCCTAGACGCGTTTGTTATCTGGGCACCAGCATCTGATAAATGACATCCCCATATGGAACTTCTGACATCATGAATGTCAAAATTGCCAGAACCAATCATGTTCTGAGGTTTGGTCATCCATGAGTCAGCAATGGGATGCTGCGGGCTGCTCAGTAGTCGTAGTACAGAAAGCAAACCAAACTTATTGAAAGTTAAACATTGTATTATTCAGTGCAACAGGCCTCAAGAAACTAACCAGCTCTGAAGCTGCCACAGTTGAACTGCGAGACAAGGAACCATGGAAAACAATCTAGGTACGTAACACACAACACAGGAGCAGAGGTTCCTGGCTTTGCCAAAAATTGACATCATGTCTGCATCCATTCATCATTATCAAGCCAATTCTCCTTTTTGTCTTTTAATCAAAAGCCAGGAATGTGACTCAACACAGCAGCACAGGAAACAACAGCAGGCAAGAAAAGCGTCTTAGTAAGCCTCACATCAGAAAATTCCAAGTTTTATTACAAAGACTTAAAAACCAGACTATAGCCCTAACAGTAGAGCTGTTCTTTCACTCAGAAGTGAAGATAGCCACATAATATTTAGCAATCAAAAGTAAATTCCAGATTTTAGTCCACCACTTAGGTCTGTCAGAACCATGAAAACAACAACTCACAACATGTTCTTCCCGATTAAGCTTAGTCAGTAATTGAGATAGTCTCTGGAGGTGTTTTCTATCCAAAAAACACACTCCAGAATGGGCATCAATTTGTAATTCTTACCACTAAGACACAGACCAAGAAAAACCTTCAGCAGAGGCATCTTCACCAGCAACGGTAGAGAAATCCTCTCCCAAATTGAACTTGTTGGTACCAAAGTCCATTAACAATGAACATCTACAAGAAGAGTATAAATACAAACAAAGGCTACAGAACAGCACAGCAACTATTTTTGTCAGAACCACACACCTATATGGATCCAGGCAAAAAAACGCTTCCAGAGGAGCCACAAACAGATTGACCATGCTTTCAAGCACCCCTGGAAGGCCACAGTAACTCCAGGGTATATATTATGAAATTGTAACGGGAAAGAAGGTGGCTGAAGGCTTTACGTAACAAGGTTCCCTGCTTGTAGCCTTTGGAGGCTCACTCCTACAGACTTCAGGACCGCTGTGCCCCTGATGCAAACGGTCAGGAGACCAAATCCTGGGAGCTACACCACACAGGGCTACGGACAGAGCAGAAACCGTGCATGAGTCTAGGTCTCAGTGCCAACACCCAGCCAAGGGCTCTGGAGCTCATCGGCTCAAAGCACACATCAGCCTGGGCCAGCCTGCAGCAGAAGCTGGGAAAGGTCCACAGAGCCTTGCACACATCACACATGGTCAGCTGCTGTCCAGGACAACTTACTGCCATTGAGACACGAACGCAGACGTGCGGTCTTCTAGAACGGGGTCACTAAAGTTAGGCTCCTGAATAAGCCTTCCTCATCGCCGCTGACCATCAGCGGACTTGAAACATCAGCTACTTTTTCAGTCTTATACATGGTCGCTCAGACGTACAGCTTGTTCTGGGTGGGCTGGAGGGGAGATTTTGTCTTTTTATTATTATTTTATTATTATTATTTTTGCTTTAGCATTCTCAGTAGCTATGCAATTTCACCTCACCTCTCATCCATAATCATAAATACACATGAAAAGCAGAAGTCATTTTAGCAAAACAGTTAGAAAGTGAACGAGGACCACTCAGCAGCTGTGGAACAACAGAGATTGTGATATAATGCCTTTGCACCAACTCTCTGACTGAGGTTCACAGACAGAAGGAAAGGCACAAAGCAGTGTTAAAGTGCAGGGCACACCTGAGAAAGAAGGGAAGTCAAAACTAGAGTTATGCTGATACTTCTTCAGAGCAGTCACAGTCCAAGCCACATGGAAAGCCAGTGCCAAAATAAGAAACACCAAAGGCACAAACAAATTCTGACTTTGCCTTGGAGGCAACAGAGCTGAAACCAGAAGCCATCAACTAGGCACTTCTGTGGCTCACTATTCTACACCACCAGCCACCAGCCAAGCCTGAACAAGCCAGACACATTCTGCTTTAGAGAACCCTGCCTTTAAAAGTAAATTTTTTCCTCAATAATGGATAAGATAACAGTCCACACACGGACCCAGTTCCTTAACTCCCAAGAGTTGGATCAGGATACTCTTTGCATCCCAAAAGGCATTACAGATCACCCGATTCCAGGCACTGACCTGACTACTTGGGCTCAACAGGGAGGCAAGCTGCTATTTTGCAGGAAAGTGTCCCATCGTAGTGGAGCTCCTTCCCTTCAGGACATGGAGGAGGGACATGAAGAGCCACCTCGCTTTTGCTTGTCCCAGCAGCTACTGTTAAAAACATAAGCCCAATTTGCACTTGTCAAGTTTTGCCTCCCAGTCATTGGTTCTCGTCACGCTTTTCTTCCCTGAACCAACCAGCTTGTTAACAGATAGCATTTTTTTTCCCCCTCAGATTTCATTAGGAGATGGTGAACCTGCTGGAGAACTGCTGAGCAAAGCTTTAGGGACAGTGGGGCTAACGGCCCCAATGCGCTGTATAGTTCCCTCTTAAAACACTGAGTCCAAAGTCAAACACAATAAGCATGGCAGTTGTGTGTGCTTCTAGTTCATCCAAATTAAACACATGCTTTTGCTTTACTCAAGAGAAACAGAACTATTTCTATCGTATTTTGGACTGAAAGGAGTGATAATCTATCCTGTGGGTGACAACTGCAAGTCATCTGTATTCAGTGACCCAGATAAATGGAGACCACCTAAAAAAGGTAAAAGCATTTTATCCTGTAAGTCTCTGCTTGGCAAGTTAATGGTCTCTCGCATATTGTCCGTTTGACCAGTACACAAGTACTACTTGAATCACTACTAGTATTTTGCCAGCTCTCAATAAGCTGCTGCGGATACCTAGTTTGGCAAAGACAATAATGCTTTCAGATAAAAAATAGCACGTGGTTGCTAGAACTAATGAGTTTTGAGAGGCCAAATACAACCTGTTACAATTTACTACCGAATATCAGTTCAGTTCTCAGCTACAGCAGGAGCATACTTTGCCTAACAATACAAAACAACTGAACACTGGGTGGAAGCCTTTTGGGAGCAGAATATACTAGCTAGCATGAAACAAATGAAACTGAGTCACACTTGGCTGAGAAGGGTCTCAGCAACATTTAATTCTATTCAGAGAGTTACAGTCAAAACAGAAACAAGCTGAATAAATAGGAAACTGCGTTTTGAAAAGGGTGCGGGAGGAGGAAAAAAGTCCCAAAACATTACAGCTATCATCCTCTTTAAATTCTCTGGTCAGAGTGCTCCTTCACAGCTATTGAAAGGAAATATTGTCACCAATAAGATATATAAAATATTGCCCATCAATAACCCCACTTCCATTACCAAGTGGCCAACACACAAGTCACATCAAGCACCACAGTACACATGCTTTTATATTTTAGTATACTTCATTATATTTTGAGCCTTTTTAAAATCACCACTTTTTCTAAGACAACAATCTTAGAACATCTTTGTGACACCCTACTTGTTTTTTACTAGCCTGAGCACTTGTTTTGCCTGCAGCTCTGTGCCAGCCTGGCATACCTTCTGACGGCAGTTCAACCCTAGCTTCTGATGGCTCCTCTGCTCGGTGTTGAATCATCTTCTAACCATTTCTACCAAAGGGCTGGAAGGCCCTACAATAGCATGGGGCTGGGAGGCGCTCCTGCAGCATCACCTCCCACCAGCACATCATTTTCTTTCTGGTACAAGCGCAGTGTGCTCTACCTCAGACCACTCTGGCCATGCCACTTCCAGGGGGAAGACTGCTGCAGAACCTCATGGGTCTAAACATTAGCTATCATCCCCTAATTACCACCTTGGATTTATTCACAGACAGTATGTATTCTACTTTTTTATATGCTCCATGATAACAGCTTGATACATTGGTGACTTGGTGCTACGGCCAAAGACAAAGCCTTGCTACTGAATACAAAATGGCACAGCTACTGGCTGGGATTTGTTATTAAAAAGGGGAAAAAAAAATGTGCTGGCTAGAGCTATCTCCACATTAATTCCAAGGTTTTACATGACACTTAAAAAATTATCACAGCTCTTTCTTTGCTTGGTAAGTAACACAGACACCACCAGCTTACAAGGCAGGAAACGTGGCAGAAGAAATGTCAGTAATAGACTCACAAAGTCCTCTTAAGCCCCAAACTTGAACTATCTCATATCCCACAGCTTCAGCCAGGATTTCCCAGCTTAAAAAAAAAAAAAAAAAAGCAGTCAACCAGGCTGTGCTACACCAGAAGCCCACTTTCAGCGCTACGTCAAGTGCTCCACAGTTTCGTTAATGAACTACCCTCCACATCTACACACCATCATATACAATTTCTATTGCAAACAAAGCAATTATTCAAATGAAAAAGCAGTTGCTAGGGATTTCAGGCTTGCAGCTTATCCATTAACCTGTATACACATATAAATGTCTATAGGGTTTGCTAGGCCACCCTCCATCCTCTTTGAAAGGTCATGGAGAACAGGGGAGGTGCCTGAGGACTGGAAGAAAGCCAGTGTCACCCCAG